CTCTTGCATCGAAACCGAAAGCATCTGGATTTGAGATTTTTGTGTCTAAACCCAAAGCTTCCTGAAAATGTTTTGCACTAGAAGAGAGAAAAGGTAACCGAAGTCGATGGGGAAAGGAAAGAGGGAGAGGTGATGATACAATGGAAAGAGGAGGCGCAAACTTCCTGCTGTCTCTCTGTGAAGGGGCTATTACCTCATTTGTTATGCTGCTCTGCCTTCAGAAAGTCCAGCTCCAAATCATCTCTCAACTCTGGGAAACCCCACCAGGTGTAAACAACAGCCTCAGCACCCCCGAGTGTGGCTTTGCACCTGAAGACGAAGCTCTGGAGCAAGCCCGGTGCCAGCTCTCCCAGCACGTGCGAGGGCAAACGCCTGCCTAGCGCGGCTCTGACAGCTCTTTGCAAGCTTTCCTCGCCGGTCACACCCACCGCCAGGGCCGGGCTCACGGTTGATGGCCTGAAGGACCTGACCCCGGAGGAGCTGCGGGCTGGCTCTTCTGCCGGGCCGGGATGAAACGTCTGTGCAAAGGCCTCCAGGAGGGAGAAGGGGCTGCAGGGAGCCTTCACGGGATGGCAGAGAGCGATGTCCTCTGTGAGGATGATGTGAGAGAGAGCTGCGGTGACTCAGAGGCGCACTTCTACCCCGAAATACCCAACAGCTGGCTCTGGGAAGGGCAGCACGGACCCCCAGGCAAGCAGCGTGAGGCAGCTGCCTGGCGGGGACCTGGCTGGGGTTGCAACGTGGTTGACGGCCATGATGCACGTGTCAGGAAAGAAACACTCCACGCTGAGTGTTTGAACAGGACCCCCCCAGGAGGTGTCCCCGCACCCTGGCCGGGTCCCTGGCAGCAGGGACACCCTGGGACAGCAGCTCCCCCTTGCCCTGGGATGGGTACCTGGGTTGCGGGACCCTTTGCTTGCTCCCTGCTGGGCCCAAGGAAAAGTGGCTTTGTGCAAACACAGACACAGCAGAAGAAAACCTGGACCCAGCTCTGAAGTTGAACCTCACCCCCCAAATCCCACACCATGTTTCATCCAACCGCTGGGTTCAGTAAAGGGCAATATCTCTTAAATGAGATGGCTGCAAACTGGGGTGGAGGGGGCTTCTCTACGCTGCCTGGGGGGGGAGGTCCCTTTTCAGCTAACCCGGCATTGCAGAGGCAGTGAGCGGGGTCCCACCAGCTGGGAAGGCGGTCCCCCCAGCCCTGCACCCCCAAGCAAAAGGGGCCGTTGCCTGCGGTGTGGTGTGGTGCAGCACTGCTGGGCTTGGTGGGGCCGCTGGGGCCGTGCAAACGGGTGGAGCTGGGTTGCACTCCTGTAGCACGGCACCTGCTGCATGCAGGGCAGGAGCATGTTTTGTGCAAAAGAAGAACCCACTTCCTTTCTTCTGCATTGTAAAAAGAAAAATAAAATCAGGCAGAGCGCATTGTTTTCCCTCCTCTTTATTCCCAAGTCCCTGGACACGGTTGTCACCTGGACCTTTGGTCTCCTCTGCCTGTTTTCGAGGCTGGTGATGTCACTTGGGGCATCTCCCTCCTCCGGCTCCCCAGGACCCGCTCTGCGCCTGCCCCCTGGGAAGGACCTCACCCTCCGCTCAGGGGCTGAGCCCTCCCAGACCCGCCTTTATCCAGGCCTCCCCTTTGGCACAGCGATGCCTTCCCGCTCCCATGGGGTTCCATGAGAAGCCCCCTGTCCCCAGGGTTCGTGTTAGCGGCGGGGCTGGAGCTGCTGGGTTATCTTCACGTAATTCCCCTTCTGGGATCTGCAGCTCCATTTTTAGCGCCTGTGTGAGCGCAGAGCCCGAGGGAGGGGAGGGATTGCACAGGGGGCATTTGACTGCACGGAGAAAGTCCTGGGCATGAATTTGCATCGCAAAACGTCCCGTCCGTCATCAGCGAGCGCTGGTGATGGCGACCGGCCCGAGGCGTTGTGGGCACCTGGCTGGAAGGCAATGGCATTTTGCCCGGCTTCATCCCAGATTTATTTCCTTGATGGTGTTAATCTGTGGAAATAAAACTCTCATGAGAGAGCGTAATGAGGGCGGACGGGAGCCTTTCGTGTGCAAAGCGTCAGTTCTTCTACCGTCAGTGCTTCAGTGACCCCTGACTTCAGGGTGACCAGTATTTATTTCAGCTGCTGATGTATTTCATGCGGTGCATTAGGTAGACGAAAGGATGGTCCTGGACCCGCTCACTGGTGTGGGCTCAGGATTTCTGTAGGGATAACACTTCTCTAATGTCGTACCCATCGGGTATTTTCATCATCGTGATGAAACAGCTGAAGAACATCTGAACCCCACGCAAGTTTGATTAGCTTAACTCTTGACAGATGTGCACACAGAAAATCCCCATCTTACTAAGGAATATTTTTTACAATTTACTCAGCAGTTATTCTCTCATTAGCAGACCTTTCCCTTCGTGTGATATAAACCCCCGAGTGACAAAAGTATCAACATTAATAGATGGTTGTTAGCAAATTTTCACTATTAGTCTTGCTAGGTACCTTCAACTTGTACTAATTCATGGCAATATCATTCACTGTGTAATTTCTATACAAATGACTCACCATACATGAGTACACAGATTAGTACTGAGTTTAATGCCACTATGTTATAAAACATTATAAATATTATGCAATTAAAGAATTGCTTGAGCTTTACTAGCTTGGAGAGAAACGTACGTTTAGCTTAACTGTAATCTTAACCTTGACATTTCTTGGCCTCAGTACATTTCAGTAGCTGCCTGAATGTCCCGTGATGGGAATTTCCTAGTTTATCAGGAGTTTTGGGGAGGGGAAAAAAAGAAAACAAGCAAGATCATCACCACCACCAACAAAAAAAACCCCAAAACCACTAAAAAGAACATAAAATCCTCTTGGGATTTGAAAGCCCCAGTGGTCTCCAGTAAATAGCTGCTGTGGGGAAGGCCATCCCGCCGGCCACAGGGCAGGCTGCGCTTCTGCAAACATTTTGGGAAGTGCTGGGGAGGAAAGTACTCTCTCTCCACTGCAAGACGTGCTGGTGGCCCACACCCCCTCGCCCCGTCTCCGGCAGCACCGTGCCATGGTCAGGGCTGCTGTGCTCATGGTGGCTTCCCCAGCCGCGCCACGGCCCTGCCAGCCAACCGTGCACGGGGCCGTGGGGTAAATCAGAGCCCTCCACTGCCCGGCACCCTGCAGGGACGGAGCCTGCCCCCAGAGGGCCAGATGAGACAAGGGGCTTTGCTGTACATTCACCACACAATATATCATCCTAATAATGAAACTATTTTCCCACTAAGGGCAAATTGTCTCATTCCAATCAAATTAGCCTCTGCCTCAAGGAGCTGTGCCCGATGGTTTCTCCGTGTGTGTATGAAAGGCAAATCTGGGCTTCACCGCAGCTCGGGAGGCCGTGCACAGCGTGGCTCGTGCTGGCCACAGGCACAATAAGCTCCACGGGAGATTCATCCCGACTTTATTGGAAAAGGTGCCGTGGTCCAATCGCGCTGCTGTGGCCGTACGTACGTGCCCAGGAGTGAACCCTCTGGGGCACACGTGAACCAGAGCTGAAGCCGTTTTCATTGTTCAGTTGCATCGTGCATCCTTGTAGAAATTTTCAGAGTAAAACCCAAAGTCGGTTCAGATGTCAGGAGTGATTGCTGTGCAGGTACAGTCATTTATCTTCTCCAGCACAGCCACTACCGAGAATAACCCCCGCTGCAGCAAAATGCCTCTCACACACCGAAAAAAAAAACACACCCAGAAAGAACACACATTTTTAGTAACCCTGAGAGAAAAGAAAGAAAGAAAAAAAAACCCCAGACCTCACGGTGCTTTTATAATGTGAGCGAATCCCGAGAGGGGGGGGGGGGGGGGGGGGGGGGGGGGGGGGGGGGGGGGGGGGGGG